CCCCGTCTTTACTAAAAATACAAAAAATTAGCTGGGTGTGGTGGCGGGCGCCTGTAATCCCAGCTACACGGGAGGCTGAAGCAGGAGAATCACTTGAACCCGGGAAGTGGAAGTTGCAGTGGGCCGAGATCGCGCCATTGCACTCCAGCCTGGGCAACAAGAGTGAAACTCCGTCTCAAAAAAAAAAAAAAAAAAAAAAAGAAAAAAAAAAAGAAGACGGGAATTGTGAGAGTTGTGCGAGGAAGACCGGGGGGACGACCGTTATCTCATGGCCTTTGCATCCAGGCTTTGAGCCAAATTCCCAAGGACTGGATCCTAACACTTGACTGCAACTATTTCTTTGACCAGTAGGGGGCAAGCAAAAGCCATAGAGAATCCGGCCCAGAGCTGATTGGAATCCCTCTGAGAAAAAGACCTCTTATTGTTTAAGCCAGCGGTCCCCAATCTCTTTGGCACCAGGGACCGGCTCCGTGGAAGACAGTTTTTCCACGGATTAGGGAGGGGAATGGTTTTGGGATGATGCCAGCGCATCCCGTTTATTGTGCATTTTATTTCTATTATTATTACATTGTAATATATAATGAAATAATTCTACAACTTGCCATGGTGTAGAATCAGTGGGAGCCCTGAGCTTGTTTTCCTGCGACTAGACAGTCCCATCTGGGGTTGATGGGAGACAGTGACAGATCATCAGGCGTTAGATTCTCACAAGGAGCGTGCAACCTACATCCCTCGCATGCACAGTTCCCAATAGGGTTTGTGCTCCCATGAGAATCTAATGCAGATGCTGATCTGACAGGAGGTGAGCTCAGGCGGTAATGGGAGCAATGGTGGGGTGGCTGTAAATACAGATGAAGCTTCGACCCTGCAGCTCACCTTCTGCTGTGTGGTTCAGCTCCTAACAGGCCATGAACGGGTACCAGGGGTTGGGGACCCCTGCCTCAGACTATCTTGTCTCTGCCTGGCAGACTCTCCTGGGGATAGTTCCCAGGTAGGCTGGAAGAATGATGCACACTGAATCAGGCAAAATACATCAATCAGGTATAGCCAGGTATACATATGTTAAGGTCCTCTTCCATCTCTCTGAGCTTTGCTTTTTCAACCTTCTTTCCCAGTAGAATTCACTGTCCCAGCCAAGGGGTTGTTCTTGGTCATCAGAGATATTTAGTGTTTTCTATTGCCTTTGCTTATGCATTTATTGATTCATCCAGAAATTATGTATTAATTACCTGTTGTATTAATATGTGTATTTATTTATTTATTTTTTATTTTTTGAGATAGGATCTTGCTCTGTTGCTCAGGCTGGAGTACAATGGTACAATCATAGCTCACAGCAGCCTTGACCTCTCATGCTCAAGTGATCTTCCTGCCTCAGCCTCCCAAGTAGCTGGGTCTACAAGTGTGTGCCACCATGCCTGGATAATTTTTTATTTTTTTAAATGTAGAGCCGAGATCTTGCTACGTCGCCCAGACTGATCTGGAACTCCTGGCTCAAGCAGTCCTCCCACTTTGGCATCCCAAAGAGCTGAGATTACAGGCACGAGCCACCGTGCCTGGACTTACTGTATATTTGATTCTCTGGTAGACACTGGAGACTCAAAAGAACGTGGTATGTAAAATCCCATTCTGTATGGAAATCTTTTGACCTCGACTTGGCAAGCTCTCTTAGGCCTCCACATCTCTCTGAAATCCGAATTGCTCCAGGAAGTTTTCCCTGGGTATCTCAGTAGCCCTGTGTCCCTCTCCTCCTGCCCCACACCTGACCAGGACTTGAATCCTGCAGCTTCTCGCTCTTCCTTCATCATCATCCATGTTTCTTGTGATAGATGAGGTCACATCTCCTATTCCAATTTTCCTTAGCCCTGGTCTGATCATGTGGATTTTGGTTTCTTCACTGATCTGAAATGTTTAACTTTCATCTTTTATTTGCTCCAAGTGTCCTCATATTTTCATATACCACATGCTGTATTTTTCCCTCTTGATTATTTGCATTTTCTTTTTTTGAGACAGAGTCTTGCACTGTCGCCCAGGCTGGAGTGCAGTGGTGAGATCTCAGCTCACTGCAACCTCCACCGCCTGAATTCACGTGATTCTCCTGCCTCAGCCTCCCGAGTAGCTGGGACTACAGGCACACACCACCACACCCAGCTAATTTTTTGTATTTTCAGTAAAGACGGGGTTTCACTATGCTGGCCAGGCTGGTCTCGATTTCCTGACCTCGTGATCCGCCCTCCTGGGCCTTCCAAAGTGCTGGGATTACAGGCGTCAGCCACCGCGCCAGGCAACTATTTGCATTTTCTTTCCTGAACTTGGCTACTGTTCAGATAGGATGTTTTAGCCCCAGAAGGGGAAAAGGTGGATTTTATGTAGACTTAAAAAAAAAAAAAAGTAATTTCTCGGCTTTGATTTTCAAATTGGAGTCGAAGTGTTAAAACAAAAAATTGTAGCCTTCAAAATTAGGCTTTCGTGAAAGATAAGATGATTAACTCAGAATCATCTTAAGGCCGGGAAGGCTGGGAATGACTCCTCTATGGAACCCAACTTGGAAGATGGGGTTGGAATAATCCGGAGTGGGAGGCTGAGTATAGAATATAAAGAAAGTTCTTGTAACTAGATGCAGTGGCTCACGCCTGTAATGCCAGCACTTTGGGAGGCTGAGGCAGGCAGATCACTTGAGGTCAGGAGTTCAAGACCAGCCTGGCCAACATGGTGAAACCCTGTCTCTACTGAGAATATAAAAATTTGCCGGGTGTAGTGGCTGATGCCTGTAAACTCAGCAACTTGGGAGGCTGGGGTGGGAGAATCACTGGGACCTGGGAGGTGGAGTTTGCAGCAAGCTGAGATCGCGACACTGCAATCCAGCCTGGGCAACAGAGCAAGACTCCTTCTCAAAAAAAAAAAAAAAAAAAGAGAGAGAGAGGGAAAAAAAAAAAAAAAGGAAGTTCTTGTCCCACAGGAAGGAAAAGCACAGACATAGGCAGGTGAGGCTTCATGAGAAGGTCGAGGTGAGAGCTCTGCTGTGTGTTTGGGGGTGATAACTGTGTGTGGCGGTTGGTGATTCATTTGAGGACACTCACTCTCAGGGACTCAGAGGGAGTCTGAGAACCTCAGGGCCAATTCCTGCTTCATTGAGCTGTGCCCTAGAGAACTGAGGGCTTTCAAATAAGCTTTGGCTGGTGGGCCAAGGCCAACATGGTGTGGACATGTGGAGCAGCTGGAGTGGAGGGCCGGGTCTTCCAGAGAGCCAAGGAGTGTGGGGAAACTGAGGCACAGAAGAGGCTTGGGTTTGTGTGAAAGAGCTTGCAGGGTTCTAGCACCTCACAGCCAGAGTGGCCATGGCCATGCCTGTGGATGTCAGCAGGGGACACCTGAACAATCCCTAAGGGACAGCGGGTCCGGGCCATGCTTGGAATTGCCCAAGTCAGAGTGTCAGGAACCGTGACCTCCAGGGGAAACCAAGAGTTTCAGATGAATCCAGTGCTTGGGAGCGGGACCAGTGAGAAAATCAAGTCACATTTCTACAAGATTTTACAGTTAATACTGTTCTCTGTCATGCTAGACAAAGAGAGATGATTATTTACTAGCTTCTATAGATTAGACAATGGCAGGCGGTGGTTCGAGGCGAGATGATTTTTGAGTCCGAGTCAGCTCAGGGCCGGCATCCCAGTCTTTGGTCTCCAAATCCACCTCCTGTCTGTCTCCCCACACTCTTCCTTGGGCCTTGAGGATCCATTGACGGTGATTTCTGTGGTTCAGCTCCCATGTCAGGCAGGAAGGGCAGCTACTAGGGCTGAGATCCCACATTGCCTCCAGCACTTGCTTCCTACCTGGCCTCCCAGGACCCCACCAGGGGCTGGGCCAGGCTGCTGTGCTGCACATGGCAGGAGTAGGGGGCTGTGTCCTGTGGGGGCCGCACACACCAACAACCAGGTCAGGTAAGTACCATTTCCACCGTGAAGAACATCTCCCTGTAACTCAGGCTCCTGCACCTTGCCGGCCTGAGTCCAGTGCACATCAATTTTCCCTGGGTAGAAGTTGTAGGCCAGGCACGTGAGTGTCCTGTTTTCTCCTGGGGCCTGGTGGCTGGTGTCCATCACAGAGGGAGGATCTGTGGAGGGAGAGAGCGTGACACCGCAGGCTTGAGGTCGACTTCTCCTGGCCCAGGTCTCTTCCCACCCTCACCCCTGGCTGTCAGCGATCGATCGGCAGAGCTCTAAGCTCTGTTCCTGCCACTGCCTTCCCCTCCTCCCCCGCCCCCCGCCCGGATCACTTTCCAGAAGATCAGGGAAGGCTGACGCTTTCCCTCATCCTTCTCCGTTGGATCATGGAATGTCCCGGCTCCCCTCTGGCCCATTCCCCACCCCACTCATATATCGACTCTGACGGCAATAAGTTGTGAATGCTCTGTGCACTTTCCAGTGTTTTCCCACATCTCAGTGGGCTTTGGAGTTCTCCTCTCCCCAAGTCTTAGTCCAGCTGCTTAGGTCAGCCCATGCCTCTATCCAGCAACCACTTCCCTGCAGCACTGCACAATCCTGAGTCTCACTACGTCTCCAATCCAAGTCTCAGCTTGCAGCCATCAGTCCCGCTCACACTGGCTCGCTCTTGTCCTTCCGGGGCTGACATTTTACACACCTCCCTTCTCTCCACCACCCAGATGGGAGGCATCATTGTAGAGAGAAACAACGATGGGATTTGGAATCTGAAATCTGGAATCTGAGTCCCAGCTCTGCCTCTTCTTTTTTTTTTTTTTTTGAGACCGAGTCTTGCTCTATTGCCCAGGCTAGAGTGCAATGGCATGATCTTGGCTCAGTGCAATCTCAGTCTCCTGGGTTCAAGCGTTTCTCATGCCTCAGCCTCCTGAATAGCTGGGATTACAGGTGCCTGCCACCATGCCAGGCTAATTTCTGTATTTTTGGTAGAGATGAGGTTTCATCATGTTGGCCAGGCTGGTCTCGAACTCCTGACCTCAAGTGATACGCCCGCCTTGGACTCCCAAAGTGTTGGGATTACTGTGCGTAAAAGGCAGAGCTGAGCTAGCACAGTGTTACCCTCACCTCTCTCACCTCCAGCTCCTCTTCTCTCAGTGGTGATATTTTGGGAAGCCTACCAGTGAATTGGTGGCTTTCCTGGCCTGTTCTGCCTGAAATTTTGATGTCCTCCCAGGAAAGAAATGAATCCTAGAAGTTGAAAATTGGGGGTCTGCGTGACTTACATGGATGGAGGAGATTGGCCTAAGATGTTCTCTGAGCTCCCAGCCTGAGATCATGTTGGTTTTTCCCAGCTCAGTACTGGGGAGCAGGAAGCAGTGAGTACATTGCCGGTCCAGGATATTTTTGCTGTATTTCAGGCACTTCTGCAGAGTCTCAGGGCACTCCTCCTTCAGGTTAGCCTTTGCCTGCTGCACGTAGACTGGTTCTGCCTCCCACTTCTGCTTGGTGTTCTGGGCTTCTGGGACCAAGGGGACCCAGGCTGGGATTTCTTTGTTGAATTCAACGTAGTCCTTTCCATCACAGGCATTCTTCCAGAACACTCCAGTGCTTCTGTTATTCTGGATCTCACCACCAAATCTTTCCTGCAAGGCATGAGACCCTGAAATGCCCCCCGACCCCACAGGGAGCCAGTCAGCCTAGTGCCAACTCCATCTGAATAACTCTTAGTCCTGCACTCTTCACACCTCAATAGGAGGAAAGGCTTTTGCAATCTAAGCATGCAGTTCCGTAATCACGGCATATGATTTTATCTGGATGTACAGTTGGCAGAGAGTGGCAAAGACTATATGGATTGGCATTTCAGGCCAATTGAGACGAAATATACGTTCCTCCCAGCCAGGGAAGTTGAGAGAGCTACAGGCTGTCGTAGATTTCTATCTCTTCTGTAGCATCTCTTTTTATATGTTTGAACTTACAGGGAGTGCTTAGGAACCTGTCACAACCACACCAAAGTACGTTTCTGAATTTGATATAAATTATTTGTGATTTCATACGAGGAAAGGAAGGCTCTCCTTTTCTTTCAGTTTTAGGTGGAGTTTATATCGTCACCTAAATCAACCTAATCTGATCTTTTTTTTTTTTTTTTTGAGACAAGTCTTATTCTGTTGCCCAGGCTGGAGTGCACTTGTATGATCTCGGCTCACTGCAACCTCCGTCTCCCGGGTTCAAGCAATTCTCCTGCCTCAGCCTGCCGAGTAGTTGGAATTCCAGGCATGCAACACCACGCCAAGCTGATTTTTGTATATTTAGTATAGACGGGGTTTCGCCGTGTTGGCCAGGCTGGTCTCGAACTCCTGACCTCAGGTGATCTGACTGCCTCGGTGCCCCAAAGTGCTGGGATTACAGGCATGAGCCACTGCGTCTGGCCTGATCGCTGCTTTCTTCCTTTCTGGTGTTTGATATCTTTATCTCAAATCTCTAAAGTCCCAACCTTCTTGCCCATTAGCAACAACTCTCAGAAATGGACCTCATAGGGTGAGGGACACATCCTCTTCATTCTGATGATAAAAGCAGGTGTTCACCCAGCACTGGTTGGTGCTGTTGGCACAGACACTGACAGCTCTGAAGCTGTCTGGGCTCATGTCCCAGGTCTCTCCTTGCCCCCACCTGGCATGTTGCATGAGCTGGAGCCAGTCACCTCCCTGGGCCTCTATTTCCTCACCTCCGAAACAGCAATGCCAAGAGCACGGTTTCAAGGGGCTATTCTGGAGCATTAAATATGCTCATATATGGACCTGGCACAAAGTAAGTGCTCAGTAAATGTCAGTTACTCTTATTTCCTAATACCCTGTGTTCATCTCCTCATCCTCCTTCCTCGTAATTATCCACTTTGACATTTCTATTCCTGTCCATCAAAGCTTCTCCCAGTGTCTTTCCTGATCACCTGTGCCCCCTCCTCTCCTATGGCTGTCACACAGCCCGGGCCATTTTCCTTACCAAGACCTCCCACCCTACATCCTTCAAACGTCTGCCTATCTCTTTCTTGCCTCCTTTTGGAAACCTTCAGATCCCATGTAGCACCTTGGGCAATTTTATACTTAGAAGCCCATCTTTTGACACCCACTCTATGATAATTTAACACCAGCAGTTCACCAGGCCTGGCTGGTTGCCTTGGGGCTGGCAGTGTGGTTTAGCAGAAAGAGTGCTGGGCCAGGGGCACAGGGACCGTCTCTGTGGGGGCTCTGCTACCAGCTCCTCCAACCACAGTGCAGGTGGCCCTTCCTGGGTCTGCATCTTATGGACAGGAGGAACTTTAGGAACAGCCTGCGGTTTTGAATCCAGCACTTCCTGAGCCCCCAGCATGGGCTACGGTGTGTGCCACGTGCTTTTCTCTGTTCTTTCCACAAATTTCAATTGAGCCAATATTGGCTGCACCCTGTCCAAGGCGATGGAGCTGCAAGGGAGATTAGGACAGACTGTGACATCCTTCATAGAATAGACATAGTTAAATATTACAAACTTGTTTGGAGGTAGGTCTCAATGCTCCAGTGTTTGCAAATTTCGACCAGATATTTTGGGAATGTTTCACTGTCAACAGCTAGGACTGGCGGAGCCACCAGGTGAGCCCAGGTCTGAGTGACTTTGAGAGCAGCTTACTCTCCAGGCAACCTCTCTGAACAGGGGTGAGTCTGATGCCTTCTCACTGGGAGATCAGCCTCTGACGGGTGGGGTGTGGAGGTGAGAGGTCAGAGGTGCCTGGATAGGAAGTGACTCTGCCATCACTTCCTGTGTGAGCTGAGGCCTGGGATGAGGATGGGGCAATCGATGGGGAAGTGGGGAGCACCTGTGCTGTGGTGTGGGCGGGATGTGGACATGTCTGCATTTCTGCTGTGCCTCCTGTTCCTCTGCTGGGATTGGGACTATTTCCATCCTGCTGACCCCTTGTGACTCACACTTGAGGGGCTGCATCTTGGGTTAGACCTTCCACTCCCGCGGTCTGTTGTTCACTGACCACTACTGTTGTTGTAATACTCCATGATGTTATTCAGGGTCTCCATAAAGATGTCCTCCCTGGCCTTCTGAAGTTGGTTCTGCTTCTCCCAGTCCTCTACTCCTTCCACGTGTCTCCATGATCCCAGGGCTCAGCCTTCCCATCTTCACTGTTGTAGTGGAAGAATGCATGGTCATTGAGGAAGACAGTGCCCTGCAGCCTGTGGGTGCCTTTGCTAGGCCTGGACAGCCCAGTGTAGAGATAGGTCAGAGAGTAATGACCTGCAAAAGAGAAGACTCTGAGGGCTGGGGTCCATGCAAGGATGTCCCACTGTGGGGCTGCAGAGGGCCAGGAGGGGAGGCCTGGCCACTGGCCTCTTCCTCCCCACTCTCTCCTCTGCTCTCAGTTTCACACCATCAAAGCTTCATTCAAGGAAACAGGCTCTGCTTTCATGCTGGAGATGATATTTCAGAGACCATTCTGTGCCTTCACTACAGAGTTTAATCTGCTTGGCACAGAAGAAGATAATGTTTTTCAACCTCCTTATAGATAGATTGGAACCATGTGACTGAGTTTTGTCAAACAAGAATGTGAGTGGAAGTGACTGTTGTCTTTCTTCTGGTCCAAGACCCTACCACCTGGCTTGCCCCTACTGTCTCTTATCCCTTTCGTTGATGACTATGGAGGCCACAGGATGAAACAGAAGAATCCCAGGATGCAAACAGCCTGGATCCCTGAGTCACCCTGTGGAGGAGAGGAACCTTGCCCAATCTGCATTGAACGTGACATGAGAAATAAACATTTCTAGTCTAACCGGACAAATACATATAGTTAGAAACTGTAGGAAGGCAAATTTACTAAACAATTCAAGAAGTGACCCAGAATGGATCAGCATAGGGTAAGGCTAGGATACCTCTCAGAATTCCTGGCATTGTACCTTGCAGTTTGGTACAAGATGGAAGCTGAGAGAGTGGGACATTTCCACAATTAGTTCCATAGTTAATTTAGAATATAATTTACATGAGTGTTAGTAATGTTGGAGGTCATATGGCAGATTTCTAATTTAAGTACTGAAGTCATTCTTGCTCATGAGTTTCTGAATGTGATTACCCTTTAAATCAGACCTTGAGTAAAACAGATTACCCTCTACAATGTGGGTGGGTCTCATTCAATCAGTGGAAGACGTCAAGAGAAAAGGCTGAGGTACCCCAGAGAAGAAAGAATTCTGCCTCCAGAGACTACCCTTGGACTCAGGACAGCAACACCAACTCTTTCCTGGGTCTCCAGCCTGCTGGCTTGCTTTGCTGATTTAGGACTTTTAGCCCTCAGAATTGTGTGAGCCACAAGAAATATTAAATAAAACTCCTCCCTTCCTCTGTTTTGTGTACATATATACTATATACATATATTTAGTGTATATAATATATTTATATATGTATAAAATGTATAAAAATTATCTATGTATAAATATATACATATATTTAGTGTATATATGAATATACAATGTATATATGAATACATATATGAATAAAAATTTAGCCAGGCATGGTGACATCTGCCTGTAGTTGCAGTTACGCAGGAGGCTGAGGCAGGAGGATCACTGGAACCCAGCTGTGATGGTGCCACTGTATTGCAGCATGGGTGACAGAATGAGACTCGGTCCTTTTTTTTTTTTTTTTGAGAGGGAGTCTTGCTCTGTTGTCCAATGTATATGAATATATGTTGTATATTCATATATACATATGTGCATGTTTATACAATATATATTAGTTTTGTTTCTCTGGAGAACCCTGAATAATTCAGATTTGAGTGCAGAATGGGATTAATATTATAAATGTGATTATTATAAAACTAACATGAAACAACTATTCTGACAATTTGTAAATGAGACAGCAGGACAGCCACCATTCTTATCATAGTGTCTGCTTGGAGGGTTCTGGGCAAGAGGCACAGGTATTATCCTGGGTCCTGGGGCCCTGCCCAGGGGAGGTGAATCTACAGGCCAATGGGAGTGCCAGGACGGGCTCCTCCCCTAATAGAGAAAAAAAAAAAACAAAAAAAACCAAAAACATGATACATAAGGTAGGCTGGGCAGAGGTCGTGATGAATGAGTCTACACACACGTTATACAAATTCAGAGCTGAGACAGTTGATCTCTGGACTGAGGCTTTGTGTGTGCCTGGGGCGGAAGGATGCCAGTGGGTGGGAGGTGTGTGTGATGGGTGGAAGGTGTCTGGGATGTGTCACCTTTCCAGTCTATTATGACACCCTCTGGGGTCACTTGGGTGTGTCAAACCAGACTTCATCCCTGCCTTCTGGAAAAAGCCTCGACATGTCCAGGACGTGGACCTGGGTAGTCCCCAGCTGGTATGTATGCCTGATGTGGTGGTAGGGTATTCATAGTCAAACAGAAGATAGGAGAATTTATGAATATTCAAGAAGGAGACCCACATGCATGCAAATTAGGTTCACATGTATGAAGCATACAAGTAAACATGCAACCTGTGACTGTTAATCCTCAGTGTCAGCCAGGCATGGTGGCTCATGCTTGTAATCCCAGCACTTTGGGAGGTGGAGGGGGCCAGATCACCTGAGGTCAGGAGTTCGAGACCAGCCTGGCCAAAATGGCAAAACCCCGTCTCTACTAAAAAACTACAAAAATTAGGCAGGCATGGTGGTGGGGGCCTGTAATCCCAACTACTCAGGAGGCTGAGGCAGGAGAATTGCTTGAACATGGGAAGCAGAGGTTACAGTCCATTGTTCTGTCTCAAACAAAACTGTGAACTTGATTGGATTGAAGGATGCAAAGTATTGTTCCTGGGTGTGTCTGTGAGGGTGATGCCAAAGGAGATTAACATTTGAGTCAGTGGACCGGGAAAGGCAGACCCACCCTCAATGTGGGTGGGCACCATCTAATCAGCTGCCAGTGTGGCCAAAATACAAAGCAGGCAGAAGAATTTGAAAAGACTAGACTGACCTAGCCTCCCAGCCTACATCCTTGTCCCATGCTGGATGCTTCCTGCCCCCGAACATCAGACTCAAGTTCTTCAGCTTTAAGACACAGACTGGCTTCCTTGCTCCTCAACTTGCTGATGGCCTATTGTGGGACCTTGTGATCGTATGAGTTAATACTCCTTAATAAACTCCCCTTTACATATACAGCTATCCTATTAGTTCTGTCCTTCTAGAGAATCCTGACTAATACATAACCCATGTTCACTTTAGGGTGGAGAATGAACATGTAAATCCATTTTAATTAGGTCCTATATGTAAAAAGGTAAAATGTAGGGCAAAAGTCCTCTTTCTTTCTTTTTTCTTTCTCCCTCCCTTCCCTTCCCTTCCCCTCCCCTCCCCTCCCCTTTCCTCCCTCTTCTCTTCTCTCTTTCTCTCTCTTTTGTCGGGTCTCTTCTTTCATTTTTCGTTTTTTCTTTCTTTCTTTCTTTCAGTTCTTCTTTTCGTGTCTTCTTGTCTTCGTTTCCTTTTCCTTCTTCCGTTCTTTCCTTCCTTTCTTCTTTGTTTCTTTCTTTCTTTCTATTCTTTCTTCTTTCTTTATTCTTTACTTTTTTGTTTTTACCCGTTTCTTTTTTTGAGAATAGGGTATCGACTGTGTTGCCCAGGCCTGGTCTGAAACACTCCTGAGCTTCAAGCATCTTCCTCGTTCAGGCCTTCCCAAGGTGCTGCAAGCTACAGGATGTGAGTCACCATGCCTGGCAGAAATCTGCTTTCTGTACATTCTCGGGAAACCGGTCAAAACTACTCTGAATATGGTAGTCATTGATCAAGAGGAAACTCTTTTTGGACCAGACTGTCATGTTGGAATCATGAAAATAGAAGGAAGGTGCTACATGGTTGGATGAAGGAAGCAAAGGGGTCTTTGGGTCTTTCATTCTCTCAAGCTTGCTTTTGAGAAAATCTAGTAATGATTAGTAAGGGAAAGGCATTGAAGTCTAATGGGGGCATGATCAGTCTCCGGTCTCATCATAGCCAGAACTTAAAATTATGGGGTCTTTTACCCACACGAGGGTTCGTTAGTCTGTCTGAGGGGTTTAGGACTTTTATTTTGGTACTTAAAGGCAGCACCTCATGTCCCAAGTGACTGGATAGCGTGAGGAGCACGAGGAATTTCAGGACCAAGGGCTGGAATGTTTGAGTTCAAAAGTGGTAGAAAGCTTAAAGAAAAGAGAATAAGCTCAATTGCAGAAATTATTGACTCAAAGCACCATCTGAAAATCAGGCAATTTCTGTAATAGGGCAGAAAGAATTCCCTTATCTTTTGCAGTTACCAGGGTAAAACAGACAAAATAAATAAATAAATAAATAAATAAATAAACCTTAATAGACTGGGTGCGGTGGCTCATGCCTGTAATCCCAGTACTTCGGGAGGCCCAGGCAGGTGGATCACTTGAGGTCAGCAGTTAGAGATCAGCCTGGCCAACATGGTGAAACCTCCTCTCTACTAAAAATACAAAAGTTACCCGGGCATGGTGGTGCGTGCCTGTAGTCCCAGCTACTTGGGAGGCTGAGGCAGGAGAATTGCTTGAACCCGGGAGGTGGAGGTGGCAGTGAGCCAAGATCGTGGTACTGCACTCCAGCCTGGGTTACAGAGTGAGACTCTGTCTCAAAACAAAACAAAAACCAACAAACAAAAAAACCAAAACCCGTAATAATGCCTAATTATTAAACCTAATAACAAAAAAATGGGTTTTGTAACCTAATTACCAAAACCTCATAAATCGAATAACAAATTGGGCTTCCAACATTCCTGTTGTTGGTACTGATGGTCAGTGTTACCAAGAGCTTTGTTGGACAAAGAAGGAAAACCTGAAATGAAATTGGGAAGGGCTTTGTGGGAGGGTTTGTGGGTGAGCAGGATGCTTGAACAGGGATAGAATTTCTGCTGGCAGATGGGGACACGTTTCATAAGGACAGGGATGGGGTTTCCCTTGCTCCTTTCTCTGTCCCTAGGGCTTAGCCCAATTCTTGGCAGGAAGAAGACAATCAACGAACACTTCCAAAAACAGATCTCCGGGTGAATGAGCAAAGACAAGAAGAAACAGTGCCAGACGTATTTGAGGGTTATTGAAGCCAATCTGGTGGAAACAGAGTTCCTGAAGACAGTTGAGGTGTGGGGTAGGTGGGGGCGATCAATGCAAAAGGGAGGTTGAAATCAGGTTCTGGGAGCTTTAGTCCAGTGGATGTGTCTGATTGAGACAGGAATAGCACTGGGTGGGCGCAGGAGGATGGAGAACCCAAACAACAGTTGAAATAAGAACTAGGCAAAGAAACCACAGGATAACAGAAAACCCCAAATAATGGAGAGAAAATGGCCAAAATCCCGGCCAGGGTGACATGTCCGTGACTCTTCTGGACAAGACTAAATAAGGGAGAAAGGGAGTAGTAATGGGGGGGGGTGTCCTGTACTTCCCTCCTTTTCTAGAATATTTCATTATTATTCTTATTTTTTTGAGACAGGGTCTCACCTGCCTCTGTCACCCAGGCTGGAGTGCAATTGTGGCTTACTGCAGTCTTGAACTCCCAGGCTCAAGCAATCCTTCTGGCTCAGCCTCCCAAGTAGCTAGGACTACAGGCATTCTCCATGACATGCGACTAATTTTTGTTCATTTTTTTATAGAGATGGAGTCTCACTATGTTGCCCAGGCTGGTCTCAAACTCCTGGGCTCAAGCGATCCACCCACCTCGGCCTCCAAAAGTGCTGAGATTACAGGCGTGAGGCACCGTGCCCGGCCAGAATATCTATGTTTATTCTACTCCCTAATTAAAGAAACACCTGTAAAATTAGAAACTAACTGTGTGTGTGACTATTCTCACGAGTATGCCTGTGTGCACTTTCACTTTGCAGCAAAAGCTTCTTGCCTTTCGCTTCATTCTGATTCGTCCCTGAATTCTTTCTCTAGATGGTGTCAAGAACCTG